TTCATGGTGTCAGATGCATTTTGGTTAGTTATTGTTATTTCTTTCTGGTGACACTAACCTCTCTAACCCCTCATATAGGAGAGCTGAAGCCAACGAAAGCATATAAGAAATGGGCTAAGCAAGTGTCTGAAACAAAACCTCCTACAAGTCCTTTAAGACAGAGGCAGAAGTGAGTCATCTCCTTTGTGGTTCTTGTTGATATGATACTTAAGTAATATCTTTATGCTTTGCTAATGAACTGGATTATATTTACTGCTTATCAAACTTTTTACTCTCCTACAGATCAAAGAAAGAGTCAGAAGATTTATATGCCATTATCTCAAAGCGCCAAAATGATAGGAGAGGCCGAGTTGATTCCATGTTATCCTCTTTGATGAGCAAATATGGTGGAGGCGAACCATCTTCAGAACCGAGTGAAGAAGAATTTGAAGCTGCTCGGAAGAAAATTGAAATTCGGAAGACGTCCAAAAATTCAAAAGGTAAGTAACTGCACTTGAAAACATTGTGTTCTATTTTCCTGTAAAAATTGAATCCTGTTCAATGTCTTCATATATCTGTATTTGGCAGCTAATTATTTGCTGGTGTTATTGTTTTTTCCGTCACAAATATTTCTTCTGATTCTCTATACCTAGTTGTGGCTGGTAGGTCTTGGTTTTCAAGATCTTACAACCAGAAGGCTGTGCTTGGAAGATGTCCTAGGTGTCAACTCTAATATAAATTTTAGGATTAGCAGGCACAAGATTGAAACCCATACCTTGGGCAAAGTTTTTCTATAAGCATTCATTTAGAATCTCCATCTCAGCACACACGTTGCTATCTATTGTTGCTGGGCCGCCCTCCAGTTTTCCAGTTGGTGCAGTCCCTGCACTTCTACTTCTCTCGCGCCCCCTGCCTACTTGAAGGTCTGGCAGCATAAATGCCAACGACACTCATCACAATCTTTTGCACTATCTTCATTATAACCTTAACAAAGAGAAAGATACTATAATAATAATGCAAGATACTACGATAACAATGCAGCCTACATTGACAGGTTAGAAAAGATCTGAGCATGTTTAAAGTTTACAAGCAATTTTATCACTTCGAGAAACTAAGAAAGTTAATAGCTTGCATTGACAGGTTAGAACAGAATTAAAAAAAAAATTGACAAACTAATCAAGTTGTATTGGGTGTGAATAAACTGTAAAAATTCTCAAACTAATCATACATTTCCATGCTCCAACCAAGAACCAAAAATTTTACCAAGATCAACATGTTGTGCAAATCATATAATTGCACTCTGGACATTCTAATACCCAATTGTATTCAAAAGAAGAGTCGCCACACTTATGACACATGAAATTCTGATTCCTCTTTTCAAGAAAAGTTGACAGTGTCACGAAACTCGATGTACACAGAGATTCTCAATGCATTTAGAATGAAAAGGTTGATAGCAATTGTGACAATGATAAATCTAGAACTTTGAATTTATTTTATCCTCACAATATTTATCGTGAAATTCATCTGAATGATCACTATAAGAAGTATAGCTTAAGGTGAGAGGATGTTTATCTCATCTGTGGCTGAAAGTATGCGGGAGTAAAGCACATTGGGGGCATATATAGAACTCGCAAGTATCACATTCAAATCTAATCCCAGAGGAAGGAAATCCACATGCATTGCACTTATACTTTGAACTTTCACTTAGAAACAAGGGGTTCTTATGGGTTTATGTGCACCAACGAAATGAGATGAGATTTTTAATGTATATTCTTATCAAATCGTCTTCTTCACATATCCAACAATGGGATTTGACTATTGTACTCATAAAAAAATTGAGATCATACCCCTAAAATTTATTATTTTAAAAAATATTTTTATAATTTTTGTGAATTATTTTTTAATTAAAAATTTTATAAATTTTATGCGTATTTTTATCATTGTTGCGAGTTTTTCTATCATATTTGTGAATATTTTTACTATTATTTTTTTTTGGTAAGGAAATATTTTTTCTACTATTGGAATAACTATTTTTATCATTTTTTTGAGTACTACAATAATGATAAAAGCATTTATAAATATGATAATAATAATCATAAATATAGTAAATAAAAGTATGATACCCAATTTTTTTTTTTTTAATATTGTAGTCCCCAATAGTGGGGTGGGGATTTTCTCGTCGGTGTCTGTGCGTGTTTGGACCAGATATAATAAAATATCTTGTAATTAGGTACACAATTCAAATGATATTTGAATTTTTTTACTTATCATTTCTTAAATTATGAATAATTTTTTTGCTTTCACTTTTGTTCACCTTTTGTTACTCTCTCCTTTTCTCCTCTAATTTTTTTTCTTTTTCTCTCCTATTGATAATTTATTTTCTTTTTAAATATGCAAATATTTGATTTGATTTGTTCTTCTCTTTACCCCTATTTTTCTCATTGTTATTCTCTCTTTTTATATCAGTATTATAATATAATTATACCGCTCAGTTATAATTGTCTTATAATACATCGAACAATTATTCATGTGTTCTAATAAATCAAAGAATTATACCAAATAATTATACCAAGTTATGGTTGGAAAATACTATTTGTTATTTTTGTCGGACCATGAATTCACTCTTAAAAGCGAGATTTTTAACTCCATTATTTAAAAAGTGTTGTAATTCAGTAAATAAGTTTTAAAATGTCGTATTTCAGTAAATTTGTTTCAAAATTACGATAGGTAAATAACTCAGATTTTGTTTTTGACAATATTTTACATTCTATGCACTCTAAAAATAACTTAACTTTTGTTACAACTTGAATTGAGTTAGCATTAGACATGAAAAATCTAATTTTGTTACAACAGACTTGATTGTTAGTATTACACAAAGAAAATATCTGATAATTATGTTTTGTCGTATAACAACGATAGATATTGGTTTTTTTGTTTAAATTTAATGATGCAAATAACACATATAGGTGAATTTCATGGCACGTCAGTTAACAATTAATCAATAAGTTGCACCAGGATAAGGCCACGGTAGGTGGACAGGTACCGGGCTAAAAATTAAATTTAATCATTGATTTTGATATAAATGATACATAAGCAAAGCCGTTGACTTTTAATTTTGATTTGAATGATACATACATAATCATTGATTGAAATCCACTTAATTATTGTTAAATGAAATGGTATATATATATATATATATATCCAATAAGAATCCGAATAAAATTATACATATATGTCTATGTATTAAAGCACAAAAGCTATATGACCCACCCCTTTCCCCTCTCTGCCATTGCATCTTTTCCCCCTCTTTTTTTTTTTTTTTCCACTTTTTGTTGTTGAATTAGGTGGATAGGTGATGAAATAAAATTAGAATTATTGGAATTGGGTGATTTATTGATGAAGCTAAACTGAAATTTAATAATAATTTGGTGCAATTTTGTATGGTTTGAAGTCATTTATAGGAAATTATTTTATTTGGATCAAATCGAATTATGTAATCGGATTCAAATTCAATTTTTTTAACAGATTAAAAATCGGATTGTCTGAGTTCCGGTACGAATGCAATATGTTGACAAGCATAATTGTTGGCATGAATGATGGAAGAAATATTATACTGTTTTAGAATTTTTTTTGTTTTCTTCATACAAGTACAACTGTGAGTAGACAAAAAAAATTCTCCAACTAATAATACATTTCCAAATTCCACCTGAGAGCAAATACATTTACCAAGAGGAAGATTTAAATGATTCATCGCCACAATCTGTGCAGATTGTATAATTACACTCTAGACATTCTAAAAAGTATATGTCATACTTATCACACTTACAACACTTGAAATACGGATTCTTCTTTTTACGATATATGAGACGGTGAGGGTGATCTATAATTTGAACGGTGCCACCAGACTTGATGTTATACCAGATATTCTCGATGCATCTAATATGAAAAGAATGATCACAATTGCGACAATGATACATCCAAAACTTTGGATTTATTTCATCCTCACAATATTCGCAATGAAACTCATCTGGATGGTCAAAATAAGGAGAATAGCTCAAGGTGAGAGGATGTTTGTCCCATCTGTGATTGATAATATGTGGGAGTACAACACAACGGGTGCATATATAGAACTTGCATTTATCACATCCGAATCTAATCCCAGAGAACTTAAAGCTACATGCATTGCAATTATACTCCGAACCTTCACTTCGAAACAAGGGATGCTTGTGGGCTTTATGTGCATAAGCTTCATCAGCTAAACAAGCACATTTGATGTCAAGAAAGAAGTCACATGTTTCACAGTTGTAGAACAATCCATTGGTGTATACTCGACACAAGTTGCACTGAAAGGCATCATAGATCCTCTTGTAGTTAAACAAACAGAGCGGGTGTTGAAGGTGACTAGGATGTTGCAACTCCGTCGGTAAGTTGATACAACTTAAATGAAGAGAGTAATTGCAATGACTACGACAGCTATAAAATAGACTAGAGATTGGTTGCACACAACCGTTGCATAATATTTTTTCTTCTTTTATCTCATTGTCGCCTTGCACTTCGGAAAGAGTTAGTGGATGCTCATGGCCAAAATATGTTACCTCTGTTTCTCTTTCTCTCTCTTCAAGGTCCAACTGCTCAACAAATTTTTTTATGAAATCTTCGAAACCATCTGTCACCGGTAAATGGATCACATTGGAGTCGGGAGGTTCAACAACTATATTCTCATCTTCACCTCCTCTGAAACTGAAACTGTACAATTTAGCATTAAAATTTTAGTTAACAAGTACAATATCATTGCAAGGAATTCATTAAACACAGGGGAGGGGGGAACTTACCATTTCAGATGGACAAAATATCTGCATGGGCCACAGTAATAAGCCCAAAAATCGTCGTCAATGTACACACCACATAAATCGCAGTCTTGGTCGAAATTGGTTAACTTGAAGTGCTGCTTAACGAGGAGAAGTGGGTGCGGGTGATCACTACAAGTGATGGTGCTCGGCGATAAAGCACAAGTCTTGTGAATCCAAAAACCGCAGGGGTGACACATATAGGATAAGTCTTTACTTTCTGTGCCACAAGCGTTACACCAGAACAATGCTTGTCTAGATATGACAGCTAATGGGTGCTCGTGACTTGTGTGTGTAATTGTGCGCTCCTCTAAGAAGCATGACATGCAAAGGTTAAATTGGCAAGAAATACAAGAGTAGTTGAACCGATTCAAAACTTTTCGACATGCATTACATGCGCATACAGAAGATGGATAAGGTGAATATGCATAGAGGGTGAGAAGGTGTTGGTAGTGTAGGGGGTCGTTAATTTCCTGGGGGAGTTCCGCACATCTTTTGTGGAGGAAGTAGTCACACAGGCCACAACTATACATAGAGTCCTCGAAGATTGTTTTCTCACACCCATAGCAAATAATTCTCCCACTTTCTTCCTCTTGCAGTTCTTTGAGAATCAGTGGATGGTCCTTATGGCTGAAATGTTGAAGCTCCATTTTCATGCAATGGGGGATTGCACTCAGAAGAAAGCCAGCAAGAGAGAGGGGGGAGATGGTCCGGTTTTAAAGGGCAAGGTACCGAATGAGACTTCAAATAAAAGGGAGAATTACATTCCCTGGTTTTGTCATTTAACTTGACATTTGAAATATTATATACAAATTCTCTGAAATTTGTACGCGTGCAACATTTAAATCCTTATAATCAATGTTCGTCAGTATATCTGTTAATAAATTACACTCAAATCTCTTGAAGTTTGTAGACGTATAATACTTAAACCCCTTAAGTTTAAAATATTATATTTAGATAAAAAATACTCCAATTAAAGATAGAATATCAAATATTTTAAAATTTATAATCAAAATTCATGTTCTATTGTATCATTTAATAAAATAAAATAAAAAATAAAAATAAAAATTTTCCTTAAAAATGATAATTAGTAATAGGGGTCAAACTGTAATAGACGCAATATTTTCTATTTTTAATTGGAGTAATTTGGTAGTTTAATTTGATCGTTTAAATGGCCAAATTAAATTCCAATAATTTTTTAAGAAAAAAATTAAAATTAATTTTTTATTTTATTTCATTATATGCTATAATAAAATATGAATTTTGGTTATAAAATTTAAAATATTTTATATTCTATATTTGACTGGAGTTTTTTTTGGTAGAAATATAATATTTTAAACTTGAGAGGTCTAAATATTATACGCCTACAAAATTTAAAGGGTCTGAGTGTAATTTACTAACTGATATATTAACGGACATTGATGGTAGGAGTTTAAGTGTTACGCGCGTACAAACTTTAGGAGATATATATGTAATATTTTAAATATCAAAGAGGTCTAAATAATTAAATGATAAATTTTAAGAGGTTTGAATGTAATTTTCCCAAAATAAAAAATCGTCCAGACATCACGTGGGTGGGACCGTGGGAAGCTCAATGGTGGGAAAAAATTCCTTCAATGTATTTTTAGCACTTTTACTACTATACCCTTAAAAGCCTTAACTAATTTTGTTTTGCATAATAGTAAATATGTATAATTAAGATTAAACAGTGACTAATTCAAAAGCGTATGTCCTAATAATATGACAATGGTCGATATTTTTTATCGTGCTAAAAAATAATTTTAAAATTGTTATTTTAATTTGTAATCATTTATTGAAAAATAGTAATAAATAAATAAATAATAAAATAAAATAAAAAAAAGTTATGGTGGTGCAATTTTACTAAACAGAAAGGGAGTGTATGATATATAAAATAATATTTTAGTACTATAATTGGACTCGATTGCACTAATATAATCTTTGAGTAACACTTTGGATTTTTTAAATATATTTTATTCGCTGTATCTTTTAAATTTTATGTTATTTTTATTAGAAGGTTACATTTATCGTCTTTTGTTTCTATGCCATGTTCCTCCTTTTTCAGGTCTCGGGGGTGCTTTCAGCTGCATCTCTGCTTCTTTCGATGGTATCCACTAAAGACAGTGGCGGGGGAAGCATATAACATAAACCTCCTACTACGCAATAACATGCCCACACACTTAAAGATGACTACTTTAGTATGTTGTTGGGTCATCAAGTTCAAAAGTTGATTGTGGCCAAGCCATTGAATATGATATTTCTGAGTTATTTTAGGGTTGTCTGATTCAAAAGTTGATCATAGGTAAGAGAATTTTCTTTACAGCTTAAAAATTGGTCACTTGGCTTTGGGACTGTAGCTTTGAAAGAGAAAGTGGATGATTAGGAAGTGATGCAAGAAAAGAATATGCATGGTTCTAATGAGCATGACAATGCACCTTTAGATGTTGATATATCCTTCTATGGATGACTATCAAGAGTAAGAAATTTTAGAACTTCTTATTTTTTTTTTTAATTAAATTTGTTTAATATATGTAATGAGTTGTTGGACTACATAACTTGTTGAATGAAATTGGGTTTCTAAAACCTAACTCCTTTGACCTTTATTCATTTAATAAGCCTATTTATTTATCTCTCATACCTTTACCCAAAATTGTGGCAAAGTCAAATGTTGAAAAGCCAAGTAGATATTTAGGCTAATTAGAGTGAACTATTGACTTAGCTATCATAAAAAGATCGAATTCTAGACAATTATCTTAAGGTTCGAGACTTCACAACAGCTAGAGAATTGTTGTTCACACATGCACAACTGCGCTTAAAGAGGGATGCTCTACTTCCTTTTCCTTTTCCTTTTCTCTTTTTTGGAGTTGCTTAAAGATGCTCTACATTCTTTTTCTTTTTCTTTTTCTATTCTCTTTTCTAGAGTGCAGAAGAGTGCTTTAGCTAAGACTTTATTTTGTTGCATTTTAGTTTAGAGTTGAATGGAAAGAGAGACAGAGGCGAGAGGAGGGAAAAAGACAATGAGCATCTAAAACCATTAGAGTACAACTTTTCTTTTCTTTTCTTTTTACATTTCTTGGGTGGTAGGTTTCTCTAGATGTCTTATTGGAATGAATTAAAGGGAATTATTATTGTTAGAGTATTTTAATAAAAAAGAGTATTCTTATCATTTTATGAAGGAAACTTAATCTCACATTAACAAAATTATTAAAAGAACTTGAGTTTATATGTTATACTAGTGCTATCAAGTGACCTTGAAACTCTCACGTGCATAGAAATGGAAAGAGCAGAGGAAATACAAGACGAAATCTGTAAAAAAAAAATACATAATAAAAAAATACAGTTCAACCAAAGATACTGATGTTTCTACTGTCTACTCTTGGACTAAAGATGTTGGTATTTGAGTTGTCGAACATGGACTCCGTAGATACTTGGTATCTTAGTTTTCTTTTTTGAGGAGGTGTAAGTGGAAGGGGGGAGGGACTTGAACCCTTTACCTCAAAAAGCAAAATTTTTATAAGACAGGGAAACTATTGGACCAAAGGCCTACTGGTCTTGATATCTTCGTTTGAACCTTAATCATTCGAATTTGATAATAATTTAATATTTATTTTTTATTTTACTTTTTTACTCAGCCATGATTTATTATTATGATAAACAGGTCAAACATGTGTAATGCATGACGAGTTGATGATTTTCGTGTAAATTCAAAATATTATAATCGATTTTCTTATTTAGTGGGTAACACACGATTTATGTTGGGTAACTCGTCTAATAAACGGGTCGTGTATGAGTATAATAGTTGAACCCATTTATATAAATGAATGATGTATGAATAAAGAGTTTTTTGACACAAATCTATTTCACCCAACACAAATCCGTTTTATCCAACACGACTGTTAGGCATAATTGAAGATAATACCTATGAACCACACGCAATTTTATCACTTAGAGAAACCGTGAAAGCTAATAGCTTACATTGATGGGGAGGAGAGCCACATGCTTTGCAATTTTACTTTGAACTTTCACTTCGAGACAAGGGGTGCCTGTGAGCTTTATGTCCAAAAGCATTAGCTATGCAAGCACATTTGATGTCAAGACAGAATTCACATGTAGCACATATGTACCCGAAACCATTGCTGTGTTCTCTGCACAAGTTGCACTGAAACTATTTTTTCATCCTTTATCTCATTGTTGCCTTGCACATGGAAAAGTGTAAGTGGGTGCTCATGGGCAAAATGTGTTACCTCTGCTTCTCTTTCTCTCTCTTCAAGGTTCAATTGCTTAACAAAATTTCTTACGAAATCATCGGTCATTGGTCAACGGTAACTTCGCTAACTTAGTTGAAGTTGGTATTTTGTTGACTTATTATGTAAAAAATTGTCAACCTTAACTCAAGCCCTTTGCATTATTACATAATAAATTGAGACCGCAACTTTCTTCTTAGTAAGTGCTGATCACTTTGCTTTACACTCTGTTAAAAAAAATACGATAGCTTAACCTGTCAAGTTAATTCATTCGGATATCGAAATTTTAGCAGTTAATATTTTGAAGTTTTATCCCGTATATTGCAGGGTATTTCCTCATGATTTAACTTATATAGCTAAGGGAATTTTCTTTACAGCTTAAAAATTGGTCACTGGCCTTGGGATTACTGTAGCTAGGGAAGATAAAGTTGATCGTTAGGAAGTGATGCAAGAAAAGAATATGCATGGTTCCAATGAGCATTTGACCATTGACCTTTTGAACTCCGGAGGGTGGCCGAGATGTTGATGCTACTAGCGCCGATGCTTTTAAGGGTGACCGTTAAGAGTAAGTCTACCAATGAATCGAATTTCAGTCCAAATTCGATTCAAATTTTGGATAATCACGATTTTGGGTTATCTGGTGCAAAAGTTGATTGTAGTGGAGGGAATTTTCTTTACATCTTTGAATTGGTCGCCTGGCCTTGGGATTGTGGCTTGGAAATAGAAAGTTGATTAGGAAGTGATGCAGGAAAAGAATGTCATGGTTCCAATGAGCATGACCATACACCTTTGGAAGGTAGGGATGGCCGAGATGTAGATACATCCTTCTATGGATGACTGTCAAGAGTAAGAAATTTTAAAACTTCTTATTTTTTCCACATTCTTATTTTTTTTTAAATTTAAATTTGTTTCATATATCTAATGAGTTGTTAGACTATATAATTCATAAAATGAAATTGGGTTTCTAAAACACTACTCTTTTGACCTTTATTCATTTAATAAGTCTATTATTTCTCAGTTATATTCTTGAAATTTTATTTTAAGCTCAATTTACTTGTAAATAGAGCGCCTAATCCAAGAGCAAGGTATACACATGCTTACAAATTTTGCAGCAATATTATCTATCTCTCAAATCTTTACTCAAGATTGTGGCTAAGTCAAATGTCGAAAAGCCGAGCAGATACTTAAGGCTAATTAGAGTGAACTATTGATTTAGTTGTCATAAAAAGATTGAATTCCTGACAATTATTGTTCACGCACATATGTAAACTTGTTTAAAGAGGGATGCTTTGCTTTCTTTTTCTTTTCTCTTTTCTATTCGGGGTCAGGTATGCTCTACGTTCTGAGCATCATTTTTCTTCTTCTTTTTTTTTTTTTTTTCTCTTTTCTATTGTGGCTTGGGAATGCTCTGCATTTTTATTTTTTTTCTTTTCTCTTTCCTATTGTGGCTTTGGCCTTTGTTTTTGTGGCATTTCAGTCAAGAGTTGAATGGAAAGAGAGAAAGAGAGAAGGGAAGAAGACAACGAGCA